GGGCCCGACTGAAAAAGTGAACCGAACGGTGAACCGTGGAGGGAGGCAGGGCCTCGTGTTACTGGAGCCGAGTGCGGGGCAGGAGTCGGACGACTCCTACCCTGCCTCCCTCCACGGTTCACCGTTCGGTTCACTTTTTCAGTCGGGCCCCCCTTGGGTAATTGGAAATATTTTCGGGACCCCACAACCCAGTTCCCATCTATATTGGTAGGATTAATTGTATATTGTTGTAAAAACATTACATTTTCTATACTAATAATAAAGATACAAAGATCCAACTATAATTGTATATTTTATTATGGATTACACATGAACAAAAGTGCTTGTAATAGATACTGTGAATTAATTTGGCCTAATTAAAACTAGCAGGCCTTCTTCCCTGAGTAGTAGATTTTTAAATTCAAATGTCTTTAAGGAAAATATATTAATTAACTACTATTTCTACTGCAGNTGTGCCTTTTAAGTCGCCAGCACTCCAGCACGTCAGCTGGCTCCAGGCCTGCTGAGCACCACAGCGGCACCACATGTCCTCCAGCAGTCAACGGCGTCCACAGCCGCCACAGCGCGGCGAGCAGAGCCGCAAGGGAGAGACGGCTCCCACAGGCAACCGTCTCGCGTCTGAGGCCGTCGCCCTTCAGCGGCTGCAGGGGCTCCGTCCCACGTCTCCGCTCCCCCGCCACCCCAGAGACAGCGTCTCCCGGCGGCGAGTCAAAGGGGAGTGAGGCTCCCCCGCTCCTGGTCTGCTCCACGAGAGCCTCCGAGGAAGCAGAGCCGGTTATGACGTTCTGGGGGTTGTGAGTAAAGTGTGTTCATTTTCCAACTTTTTGTACTGAGTCATCAGTAACAAGTGTTTCTCACATATCCCCCGTGTAAGCCAGCTGCCTATAACCGGCACTAGCCGTTACAGTAGGTAACTCCAGTTTACCTGTGTGTTTGTTTACCTGTGTGTTTGTTTACCTGTGATGAGCAGGATTTCTCCCGGAGTGACGGTCAGCGCCCAGAAAGCCGCCCTCCTCCACAGCACCACCTTCATCTCCACTCCTGATTGATCTGTCACCACGATGGAGGCCAGAGGAACGCAGGCCCCCGACCTCACCTGTAGACACCAACGAAGAAGATACCTGATTCAGAAACAAGCACTGAACCCCCCGTGGACGACGTGTCGTAGCGGCTCCACCCACCTTGATCTCCTTCAGGTGGGAGGGGTGCACCACGGCCACCAGTACCGAGTAGCGACCCCCCTGAAGGGCACACTGGTTCAGGAGGGTGGGACCGCCTCGGGATTTGGGGGTTTCTGAGATCAGAGCTCTCTTTTTGTCCGGGGATTTGGAGGGGGAGTCTCGCCGCTCAGCATTCTGGGACATCAGCACGCCGTCGGGGGTTACCTCAACCACTACACCACACTCCTCCACCACTACAGCACCCTCCGTCCAGCAGGGAGCGGTAAAGAGCTCCAGGGAAGACGCTATAGGAGACAAACTCAAAGGGCTGAAGAGCTCCGGGGTGCTGGAGGACATAGAGGGAGGCGTGGCTTGAGGAGGCGGGGTTTGAAGAGGCGGGGCTTGAGATAGAGGAGGCGGAGTTTGTGAATGGGGTATTTGAGGGGGCAGAAGTTGAGGAGGCGGGGTTTGGGAATGGCGTATTTCACGGGATAGGGTCTGAAGAGGCGGAGCTTGAGGTGACAAAGTTTGAGTAGACAGGGTTTGACGAGGCGGAGTTTGAGGAGGCAGTATTTGAGGGGCTAGGGTTTGAAGAGGCGGAGCTTGAAGTGACACATTTTCAGACGGGGCTTGAGGAGGCAGAGTTCTCTCAGGACTGGATGCTGATTGGACGGCGTGTCTGCCCTTCAGGATTAAGGCCTGACTGAGCGTCCAGGTGGACAGGAAGTGAGTGTGTGTGGAGAGAGGAGTCGGGGGGGAGCGGTGTGCAGAGAAACAGCTGTCCAGATACTCCAGAACCAAAGCCGAACACTGGACTTCCTGTCGGGGGTCTTCCTCTGTCGTCCAATCAGATTCAGGCTTCCTGTGATCCTGATCCGTCTCATCGCTCCGTAAAGTAAAAGGTTCTACGCTCTCCGGGACGATCGCTTCCTCAGGCAGACGACATCCTGTCACGTCTGAAAAACAGAGAGGAAATCATTTTTATTTTCCTCATTCAGTTTGGAGAATTCATCCAAACGTTTTTTTTTTGCAAATGAAAAAATAAATGTTTTAGTGTCATTTATTTTAGCACATTTTTGGATGGAAGTTTTTTAGCAAATCCCAAAGTGTTCTCACCTGGTGCTGCCTTCAGGTGTCCGTCCTGCCAGCGGAGCTCCAGGTGTCCCCAGTCAGCAGGGGGTCTCCAGTCAGCAGGGGGTCTCCAGTCAGCAGGGGGTCTCCGCTCCTCCCCTCCCCCAGCTGGAGGCCCTGATGCTGGGCCGCGGGTCGGGGGAGGAGCCCCCAGGAACACGTGGATCTTCTGGCGGTCAGACATACCGACCGCAGAGAGACTACAGGAGTTTATTCAAGAGAAAGAAGTTAGACTTTATTTAAAATAAGACATTTGAGGTTTTTGTATTTTGTGTTCCTTTCATACAGTTTTTAATCTAAATACTTTCAGCTTAAATAAAGGTCTTCTCAGCGCTTCATAACAACATCTGGATTTATAACCATGACTCGGCAGAAACAGCCAACATGCTTCCAGCGTGGATGTTTCACAGCTGGGAACAATAACACGGCTCGACCAATCAGGGGGCAGGATGATGGGG